CCGCACGCGCGCCCCAGTCCCTGCGCCGCCAGCTCCTGCCGGATCTTGGCGACGGCCGCCGGGTGCTGCAGGAGCAGCAAGACGAGGGACGTGCTGGCACTGGCCGTGGTGAGGAAGGCGGCGAAGAGGAGCTCCACAGCCGTCTCCTGCAAGACAGCCGGGGCGGCGCTGAGTCTGCGGCACCGGGCCCCGGCCGCAAGGCCTCACGGCCTCATGGCTGCGAAGCAACGGGCCCAAATTTACCTGTGCGCGGAAGCCAGAGTGGCGGCTCCGTGCGCGGGCCCGGGGTCGATCGAATCCCAAGTCAGCCACTCGAGAAAGCCACATACGGCCACGACCAAAGCCAGGATCTTTGGAAGGGCTCCCAGACACAGCGCTAGGAGCTTACTCTGTATGCTGTTCTAAGTGCTTTACATGTATTAACTCCTTCGGTTCTCATCCCAACCCTGTGAGGCACAATTACTGCCCTCGTTTTACAGGGGTGGAAACTGAGGCTCCACGAGGCGCTGGGGGGGGGGGGGTGGTCCCAGCAGTCGGGCTCCGGAGTCCAGTGCTCCTAACCACCTGGTGGTGCCGCCTGCAACCCTTGCTGGGCGTCCTGACCGTGACCTGGGATGGGGGCGGGAGGACGAGGAAGGCACCTGCAGCAGCCGCGCCAGCCTCCAAGCAAAGGCGGCAGCATGGCCTCCTCCTCCCGCTTAGTGGAGTGGTCCAGGGAGTGATTAAACCTCTTCCCGGTCTGCACTGACCAAGAAGGACAGAGGAGGGGCCTGATGCCTTCATCCTCCAAGCACCAGCCCTCACCCTCACTGCCTCCCTCTGCCCTCCCAGCTCCTGGGGGCACCCACAGTTTGTGTTTCTATATTGATTTCTGTGATCGTAGGATGAATGTGTACCCCTCCCCTCTGGCACCTCCAGGGCAGGGGCTGTGTTTTGCTCAGGGCTATATCCTCAGTCCCAGCATAGAGCCTGGCACCAAACAGATACATCATAATGTCTCTGGAATGAATGACCTGGTCCAACTCTAACTGCCTGCCCTGGACAACATGGGAGCCCCAACGTCCTTCCTGGCTAGGCCTCATCTGCCTGGCCTGCCCCTGAGGCCCAGACCAGAACTGAAGATTCCTGACATGGAGGGTGTTGTCATCCCCTCCCCAGCCCTGTCAAGCACTCCCCTTCACAGCTGAGAACTGTTCCTATCCAGGGGCTCTCCCAGGACTCATGAGCTCATCTACTTTAACCCCCTGGATTCTTCCAGATCTCATAATCACCCAGGAGTCAGGATAAAGACTATTAGCCCCATACTCAAAGAAGAAACTAAGGCTGAGCCCTACCCTTCATGGCTCTTGGAAAGTGGGACATTAAGGCCCAGAGAAAGGCTGAGAGTTCCTTTTGGAAGGGTTGAAGTTTTCCCATTTCTAACCTTCCCCTACACCCCCAGCCTCTCCACTCCTTTTTGGGTTCTCCAGCAGGTCCTGGGGCCATTCCAAAGCAGTTCTCCTTTCTTCCACTGCCTGTGCTCTACACATAAATGGGGAGGGGCTCTAATTCTCAGGGGAGACCTCCAGTGGCAAAGAGGTTAAAGGTGTCAGGTGACAAGATGGCTCATGGAAGGACAGTGTCCATTTTGGGAAGAAGAGGGAGCTTCAAGGAGGATGTGGAGCTTGATCCTGAGCCCTTAGGGTCTGTAGGGAAAAGGAGTGGATAGGGCCTCATACACAGGGGGGACAGCAGAGGCAAAGGCATGGAGTGACAGAGAAGGGGGTGGGAGAAAGCAGAGCTGTTTGTGGCCAGAACCTGTAAGCAAGGGCCTGGGATTCATGTCTTCCACACTTCCCTCAAGTGGGGCCGAACAGGACCCTGCTGGGGGCAGGATGCAGTACCTGTATGGAGACCTGCTAGGAATGCAAAAGGCGGAAAAGTAGAACCTTCCCACCACCTACCTTCAGCTCCTGCACTGAAAGCTCCTGGCCCAGCTCCCTAGTGCTGAGGATAATCATGTCGAGGGCATCACCCGGCTCTGCAGCCTTGTCTTCACGAAGCTTTTCTGCAATAGCCTCCTCCAGGTACCGATGCAGCTGATCTCGTGCCCGGATGCCCTGATGCGTGGGGAGAAAAGGGAGGTGGGGCAGGAAGGCTGAGGGGGCTAGGCCTGTACACCTACCCCCCAGATCTTCCTGGGGCTGTCATGGCTCTGCTGAGATCCAGGTGTCAGGCTTCTCAACTTAACCCCATGTCTGGCACATAGTAGAGGCTCAGTGAATGCTCAAGAACTTATCCACTATCGCTACACATAATTCTCTCTTGATTATCACATTCCACCTTTGAGGCAAAGCAAGCAGTTACTGTCATCCTGAGAGGAGGATGCTGAGGCTCAGAGGGGTCAAGCAATTGCCCAGAGTCACACAGCTCTGAGTGCCCAGGCCTGGCACAGAGTCTAGTCAGGTGGAGTCAGCCCATTGCCCTTTCCCTGCACTAGACTCAGGCAGGGGCAGTGGGCACCAGTGTAGAGAGGAAGGCACACTTTGTTGCATCCAGAAAAGCTCTGGCTTAGAGACCACTCCCGGATGTTCTAAGCATTAGCCTCTGTAAGCTGGTAGGCAAGAGGGTGGAAGTTCAGGGAGCAAGCATAGGGAAAGCATCTGAGCACTTAAGTTTTGAGATCATAGGAAATCAGGTTCAAATCCTGCCTCTGCCCCTACTAGCTGTGTGATCTTGGGTAAGTCACTTAACCTCTCTGAGCTTCAGTTTCCTCACCAATAAAAGAACACTTTGCAGGCTGAGAGGATTAACTCAGAAAATGTATTCAAGGAGATCAGCCTCAGGCATGCCCCTTCATACATAACTATTATTTTTATTCGGGTGAGGAAAACCAAGGCATCGGTACAGTGAGAAGCCCCAGCTCACAAAGAAGAGGCAAATGCAGCCTCCTAGTTGCTCTCTGGGCCCCGCCCATCGCTCTGAAGTCTGAAGAAGAGCGGTTCTCTGATCTGGAAACTAGTAGGCCCGGAGCCACAGACGGGGAGCCGGCACCCACTCCTCTCCAACCCAGGCTAGGCGGCGCTTGTGCTCCCATCGGTTCCGCTGCCATCCGGGCTTCCCAAGCAGCTGGAGGCCAGGCCAAGGGGCAGCGCTCTGGGGTTCGAGCCTGACTGGTTGGGCGGCCGCCACCGGGACCCAAAGTCAGGAAGCCAGCTACTGGTGGGTCTGGCACGCATCCCTGGAGGCG